ACGATTTCAATATGTTTTAATCCGTTAGCCACGCTCAAAGTCACGCTATTTATAAACAAAGTGTGGTGTTACAAGGGCTCAAAGGTATTTTTCTGTTTGCGTTACTTGGTGTTTATTTAGAGCTTCATAAAGTCGAGCCAAAATCGACAGCGAATATCAACATTTCGAGGTGTCTCTAGAAAAAGTCGATTTTCTCGGTTTTATTGCGGAATTGAAGCAAACCAAATACATAGGGATTCTTAGGAAACATTCCTCTACCAACCTACAAAATATGAGCGAAATCGATTTTTCAGCCGTTGCCAACATTTGTTCGATCTTTAGGGACATCCACTCTTAAGTTTCATATTTCCCTGACGTTTTGAAAATGAGGTACATCGGGCATTGATGGTCATCTACAATATATTTATTTGGCTGTAAGGATCGTTTCTCATTTTCTTTGAGTTTTGTTTTGGTTTATTTAGACATAACTCTACTCTAACATGAATTGTACTCCTGTTTCATACATAAGCTAATAGCATGCAAAATACTGCTAACTCTCAATGTTTTTAGATGTTCTGTTTTTCCAACGCAAACAAATCCATTCATTTTTCAATATCTCTTACTGTTTTTAAAAAATTGCGCGAAACATTCCCTTTTAAAAACATGCACGTGATACTAGAATAGTACAATGTAGACTGTTTAATGGAATCACATCAACATTTTTTTATTCGTAGGGAAGGTCAGTTGTGTCCGATGCATGCAGTTTTTGAAAAGCTTGGCATTAATTTTTATTCCTTCCCATGTTTACATTCGCAGTTAGTATCGATGATTTAACTTTCCTGAACGTGGCAAGCTTTTGCCAATTCATTTTAAAATAAAATAAAATAAAATAAAATAAAATAAAATAAAATTAAAATATATTTTTTTTCAGGAGTACCAGGCAAAACAGAGTAATGATTATGACTTGTCATCTGTACCATCTGGAGGTTTACACTAGATTTTTAAATGAGCATTATAATAATCGATCATTTGCAAACATTGCAATAAAGTCTTATGGTGATCTTAGTTGGTCTCCTATACCAACTGAATTATTGTATTGGAGAAAGCCCGGTAAGTTATCACGCATTTATTTCTTTTCAAAGTACGAGATGAATGTATTCTCTGGTGAAAAAACTACGATGTTTGTAAAAAACCATATACGCAAATTTCGAACTAAAAAACGCAGGTCTCCCAGGCGATTTGTCATGACCTGGCCGGCGAAATAATATGCACAACTGATTGGCTATAATATAGAGAACCACATAATATTTATTTTAAAAATAAAAAAGGGATGCATTCATTTTAGGTTTTATAGAAGTTGATATCTGCATAACAACAATATAAACTTTGGACATCACTCCTGTTGACAATACTCTACATTCTGATTTCTCTTTTTCAGGGTCAAGGGAACTTCATTTTAATTTGAACAAAAATATCCCTCCTCACTTAAGTCTTGGCTCAAACTTTGTGATAAAAGGTAACTATTATCCTGTGAAAATTATAAGAAAAAGAATACAAGTACAATTATAATAACTCAAAAACCTAATCATTCCTCCTAAACTACCACAGGTATAATATTATCAATAGAGGAGTTAATCCAGACCGATAGTGAAGTTTTTTTTTTTTGACTGCCTCGTTAGATATGATATCGCAAAATGCGAAAACCGATCAAGTTTCACCAAAATAATGATAACTTAAGTCGCAGACAAAAGTTGGATTTCAATTGCTGTTCCGGTGAGGTTTTGATCACGCCGCATTAGATACGATTTCTGAGTGATAAATCCACGGTATTTTCACTTAAAGCTTTCAAGTGAAGCGATCTGAATTGATTTTTTTTATTCGCATTAGCTGCGATAAACCTGCGAGCTGTCGACGAGAATCGTTATGGATTTACAGGCTGCTTCATTCTCGTACCCAGACCCTAATCTCGCGGCCTCTAGCGGCCTGTCGTAGGCTCTGGGACACCCTATAAACCGGAAGCAAGATTTGTTTGCGTTTTATCCAGGGCTGTAAAACTTTCCAAAAATGTGTATTTCTGGTAGTTCATACACATGACAGTGAAAAAGTTTTCACATATTTCATATTCAGGAACAAATAGACAGACAGCCATTGGTGGAAAATTACATACATTTATTTGTATTTTGATTTCACCATAACTTTTTTCCTATTTTGTTCATCCTTCTAAAATGTTCCAAAAACGTTTATTTCTGATAGTTCTTTGATGCTACAATGGCAAAATATTCATATCTTTCTTATTTTGGAAAAAAATAATTGCAGCCTTTGCGGCAAAGGTTTATGCTTATAATTAGTGTTAGGAAACTCACCTCTCTTGAGATATCTTGCCATAAGGAAAAGTCAAAATTTTTTCTGGACTCTTCTTCTAGAAACAACCTTAGTTTCAAGAGATGTGTCAAAAATATTACTAAGAAATATTTGCTTTTTTAAACAAATTTATAATATTAAAAAAAATCATACCTTATGCTGGTAAAGTACTCCCATTTTGTAACATGTAGGGAATCAAGGTTTGTTTTATAAAATCTACGATCTAGAAGACATAATGGGATTTTCATTACTTGGTTATTTGTTATTAGAGTGTCTGCTTTTTCGAACAAGGCTGTTTGCCAGTTTTTCCTTATATATATGTTCAACCTTAGATATTGGTCTGTTCTGAAGAAAGGCTGGAAGGTCCTTGTTGTATAAACGGTACCCTTCGTTACCACGCACATTCCTTGTCGAGAACCTTAAAAAAAAGGAATATGTAATTAACGATATTTTAAATAAGTTGAAATGCAATTTAACTCAACATGATTATATATTGCAGTTTTAAATGCATATAGCTAACAGTATCACACACCCCTTGTACGAATTAGGGAGGAATCGATTAATGAAGACTGTCAACATTTCGCTTAGTGTGCAGTAAGTTTCTGTAACCCTCCAAGTACTGACACTTCAAGGCTTCATTCTACCTTTCTAGACCGCTATTGGTGTGTACGGCAATAATGAAGTCTTCTTTACGATATGTTTGACAAAAAAAGACACTTCAACCATTATCATTATGTATTTATGAGCATCGTCATTTACCATCCGAAACCTACTAACGAGACCTACTTTTGCGTTCGCTTTCCAAATGAATCTTTTTTGCAACTTTCAATTGTGTCGTCGAACTTTGATTCATCTTTTGGAGCGTTAGCGACTTCTCTGAGAAAAGTGAGCAAGCAGTCTTGAATGCTACTAAAGCCAGTATCACATTTGCTGAGCCATTCTCCCCATGACTTCTCTCTGTAAAATCGCACAAAAGAACTGTGCAACGAGAATAAGAATATGCAACAAGAATACACGAATGAATAAGTAAATAATAATGATTTATTAAAATTTATCTGTAAATTTCGAATTAGCCAAAGTAATCCTTATTTGTACCTGACAATACTTTCTCCAATGCTGCGATTTCAGCAGTGTTAAAATCCACCATACAATATCTGGGCATTCATTCCAGATTCAACTCCCTTAGAGTTCTAAGAGCCTCGGCAATGCCCTCGCTGTCTTCGTTTTGAGTAATGGAAGAAGCTACAACTTCGTAGTAAACATTGGTGCGCACACACAGGAAAAAAAACAAGAGTAGTCTCTATATTTGGTAGTTCTGTAAATGGCGTCGAGAAGGCACATTTCATTTCGGTATACATTTAGGAGCTGTTCCTGTTCATTACTCTGGTAAAGAAAGACCAACTTCTCGGACTTCTCTGAGGAGCCGGTTCCGCCGCTAATGTTTTTGATAATAAAAATTAGAGCTAACCTGCTGACGCTTCACTTTTTCTACCTATTTTCACGAATAAAACCGTTACGTTACTTTAAAATTGAAAATATTGACATTCATCTCAATTATTCATGCCGAGCTCTTAATCTATACATAGAGCCGCCATATTGAATTGTCCGACTATTTCCGAAGATGACTTCGTCTCCAGGCCTTCTCGATACCTCCTTCTTGGGAATGCCATCTAGCCACAACCATTTTTGAGCTTTGATCTACAAGTAGCCCAAACTTATTATCAGAGGATGATGACGTAATGTGTTGGGCCGTTATCAATTTTGAATTTTAATTGATCACTCTATTCTACTTAATCGTTTATTGTTAAAGGGATTTAAAAAAATCTGAATAACAATGAAAATATGCGCAAGGCTTTCTGGTAGTTGTAGTAAAGTTAGGAAATGTCCCGTTACAGAACGAGTTTGAGTCACGAAAAGGTTTCTTTTACTCATTTATTTTTTTTATGCATTCTCCTCATGTATTTAATTTTAAGTAAGGCCTGTTAACTCAATGTGCTGGAATTCCTCTTAATGTTCCTTTCCGTAAGCATGTTACTCCTTATATTTTCGTCTGTTTTTCTCCTCTGAAGATTAATCCCAATATATTTTTGATATGCAGCATATTTTTGTGCAAATACCTTTTTTCCACAGCTTTGTACAAGTTTTGCTGTGTAGGGCTGCGATGTCAAACCTGTCCTTTGACTCTCAATCTTCACGCCCTCGAACAGAAAATATTGGTGAACAGGAGCTTACAGATGGATTGTAGGGAATACTTTTTCAATTACTCCATTGATGTTATACAACAGCCAAAGAACTACTCTATAGAGGTATTGTATACTGTAAGATGACCGACAGACAAGACCAGTGCTTCTTTGCGTCCTGTTAAAGTGATTTTAGTGCATGGCCGGGTCTATACTCCAGTTTCGAGATCTTATTCGTGCAACCTTAAACCCTGTTTACATGAGATAGGGTGCCCCTAGTTGTAGGGCCAAAATCCTTTGTTTTAAATCCTCAAGGGGAAAAAAAAAAAGAGAAAAAAAAGAAAAAAAAGAGTTAGCCTGACCAGGTAGGAGCACCCTATCTCATGTAAACAGGGTCTTAACGGCCTCGAAAGCATGTAACATATTCTTTTATTCGGCAGAGATCCTATTGTTATGCAATTACGCTGTGTACAAAGACAACAATACAAATCTATGCTTGATAGAAGCTAAGCTTGCACAAAAGAATTCGAAACGGAAGTATTGCCCGCTCACTGAGGTTAAGTTGATATAGTATCCCAGTAAGTACGTACGGTGATACGGTGTCCCATAGAATCTCTCGTGGAATTCCAGGATATCCTATGGTATCCCACCATATCAATCAAAAATGCATTTTCTTGGAATTGTTTTCTTATTTTTCTCTTCTTCTTCCTTTCGTTGGGGGGAAAGGGGGAGGGCTTTTTACACAGATACTTGGAGTCCGAACATTTTTCATGTTATTTTGATTGTCAGTTAAATCACTTATACATAGATTATGGACCTTAATTTACAGAGACAATTTTCTGACTGTTTGGCAATGTCAATATTATATTGTGCTTTCCTTTTATTATCATTCCAAAGATAAGCTACTATCTAAATGGAGATGAACGGTCCACAAGGAAGAGAACATTAGGAACGACCCAAGTTTCTGGTAAAGCATAAACATATCTTTTTCTTACTTTTAAACTAAGTGACATATTCACTATACGCTAATGCGTCATACTGAGCCAGACATTTGGGATATAAAAGAGTAAATAAGTCCCTTCTGGCGGCTGGAATATCGKCTGATAATGTCCCGGAGAAATAAATATTGGCCGAAAAGCGAGGCACATTATAAGCCGATATCCCAGTGAGTCAAGAAGTGGGTTTATTTATTTTATATCACAACGAATTCACTTTGTTGTGTTGACGAATAGAAGTGAAAGGAAAAATCTACACACGATGTGATTGGTTCACAGTAATTTTTCCGTTATTTGATTGGTTCATTGACAAGTTATTGAACAAGGCGGCAAAACTCTCTGCTGAAGTACGAATTACAAATTTATCGCTGCGTTTAGCGTAAATTACAAATCTCGAAAATCAGTGTCTTTAGTTCTTTTCCTTTGAGGTGACGTAAAAATGATAGCCATTTTAAAGGTGTTTCGATCGTAATAAATAGCGTTTCTCGCGTATTTTTAAACTCCAACTACGTCGCAAATTTCGATTCAATTGCACTCAAACTTTCACAGACGTCACATAGATTATCGATAATTCTTGTTGATAAATTAATTTGCCAAAAAGCGAAGCCATTTGGATAAACGATGCAAAATAAAAACACCTTCATTTTTCTTCAAAATTAATTTCCTCGAAACTCATCGCAGAGATTGTAATAAAATTTTCAGAATCATTTCTTAATAACATAATTGATATACTGACGAAGTTTCAGTTAAATCTTAACCTAAAATTTCGAGTTGTTCGAATGTACATCATTGTGCTCAAACAACTCGAAATTTTACGTTAAGATTTCATTGAAACTTCGTCAGTATATCAATTATATTATTAAGAATTGATTAAGAACTTACGAAATTAAGAGACGCAGAACAAGCTAGCTAGTGAAAATKTTCAGCGTAAGCAAACCGGCATTTTAGTGGCTTAACATTTGATGGTAATTTTCTCAACGTAAAATACGTTCACAGCGTCGACTTATCATGTATTCCCAGGTTTGCTTTTGTTAACTAGTTTTTTATTCTCGTAAAAGCTCTTTAAAAAGCGGTTTTGATCCGCTTTCCATAGCTCTTTTTTGGCAAAAACAAATCTGAAAACTCCTGGGGTCAAATGTTTTTCTAATATTTCTTTAATCTATTGTTCTCCATTATTGCATGTCAAGATTATTCCACATATCTTCTTGATGTCTGCCTGCATTAATTAAGAAAAGAACATGAACAAGCTTGTTTTTTTTTCACAAGAAATAATCAATCCTTCTTTGTTGTGGATGTGAATATTCAGGGGCGTATCCAGGGGCCGGGAATGGGTCACAGGGTGCCCTTGCCCCCCCTTTTGAAAGCCAAAAAAAGTTAACCGTTAGTGCGGTTTGTAAGGATATGTTTCGAATTTTAATTTTAATTTTTTTCTTAAAAGAAATTAAGAAATACAGTTTTCTGTCTTCTCGCGGGCCCGTTTCGTTTCAATTAAAAAAAATCCACAAACATCAATTGGGCTTCCTTGCGTTTCATATATTGTTATGCCCATTTCCAAAAACAACAAAGCCCGCGAACTTTTTGATTCGAGCAACGTATGCATTTCTTTTCTCCTATATCGACCGTGATTCTTTTGCGAAAAAAGAAAGCCATCGGTTATTACATCATATTGACGTCATAGTGACAATTTGGTATGCAAGGACCACCACAGTGAAAATCCTGCTTATGCCCCTGATATGTCTGATATTGAAGGTGTTTTAGTTATGTAAACGAGAGAACAGAATAATTAGACAATTGTTGAATGCACATCAATTTACCTGTCAGTAAAACGCCAAAAGCCTTGAAGAACCGGAATGTAATGTCCACAACGGTTTTTAGGTAGTGTCCACAATGCAATATTTTTAAGATAAAAATATATATTGAAATATCGTTGAAATATTTTTTATTGTAGAAGTAAGCTTTTATCATCAGCAAGTGTAGCCATAATATTGACTATTGTTAAACATCTCTCAAATCACAGGAAAATGCAAAAATGAAAAGCAATTGAAAATGTGGTAGTATATTATGTAATGTGCACAACACCGTTAAACAGCTTATCTTTCAGTTGACAAAAAGGAAAAAAAGAAAACGTTTTGTATCAAATTGTAGAAACTCCATTTAAGTATCAAACATGTAACTTTTAGCTTCTAGATTGAGTTAGAAAAGAATTTAGAGGAAGTTAAAAATTTAGAATTGCCCATATATATCTAAGAAATAAGAAAGAACTGCCTTGAAATCAGGCGAAATAATTTGCTCTTCAATAGAAGGACATGTATTTTCTTTCAACAGAATCTACACTTTACAGCTGTACACTTATGGATTCTCGTCACCATGGTTGTGTTGCTGAATGGACGGTACAGCCCCACATCGGATATCTTAATAAGAGTTTAAACAACGGTAATGCCATATTTACTGATATAAATGATGGAAATAGTCTTTAGTTTCAACAGGCCGTCACCAGAAAATTTCCTGTGCTTTATTATTTGGTATTCTTGCGCTTTATTCCAGCCCCAAATGTGAAAGATTGTCCAAAATCATGCTTCTGCTATGGTGCTGAGTATGAGTCACCACATTTTCCATGGAAAGACGCTTTCAGAAATATTAGTCTTTGTGTAAGGTTTGCATATCGCCTTCCATCACAAGGCTTATCGCGACTTGACGTGTACGTTCATATGGGAAGCAAAGATCAGCACATATGGTCAGCCCAAGGATATCAAGGAGAGGTTTGGAAAAACGGCAGTATTCCTATTGTTCGAATCAAAGAAAAATTCAAGGTTTGTGATGTAAGCCATGACGAATTATTATCCATGGTTTTTACTACCGAAATAAGCATATTAAGGATTTTTTTGAAAAGGTTCAAGAAAAATACATAAGAAAAATGCACATAATCACGTCTTCACTTTGGAAATTCAGTTTTATGAAATGATTGTATGATTTCTCCATACATTTTTTACCAAATTTTGAGTATCTTCAATTGCTAATAATTCCGTAACAAAACGCTTTGCAATCCTAAATATTCAAAAGTTAGTATAGACAAGTGTGAAACACTCTCCGTAAACACCTTCCCGTGTTTACATAGGCTAATGCCAACGCGTAGGAGGAGCCGACGTGTTCCTGGAAGAAATATATATGTTTATATGTCCCAGCTAGCTGTATGTCACAACTGGAGCGTCAGTTTATGATGGCATAAAAACGTAATATCAGCCTTTTTAATTTTATCAGACCAAAAAAAAGAAAGCGTTTGCCAGGAATAAAATTATTTTACAGAAGGAGAGTAGTTAAAAATCCCAGGAAAAAATTACTTCAAGAACAGTTAATATTTAGAAGAAGAGATTTTGTCGGCTCCTGAAGCTTGGGAGAATCCGACTTGTTCATGCAAACCCGGGACGATGTTTTCATTCATGATAATAGATTCAAACTCAATAAAGTATATTTATGTATTTACTATTTTTATCATCAATTCTTTATTATTATGATTATTATTTTTTATTTATTTATTTGATCATATGGATGCAAATGAGATTCCATAGGTCTATCGACCACCGAAAAAATGTGGTTATCGCTAGATAGCTATGTGTATGCAAGTTGCACTCTTGAAGTAAAATTTCAACAGTTGATAATTTGATATAAATGCATTTTCAGATCTTATTCAACATTTCGTCTAATGTAAACATAACTACCTGTGGGATTCGAGACTTCAGACTATCATCGTCAGAATGTGATCTTCTGCCAAAGCATGCGGAGCCTGGTAAACCTAGATTTTTTGTTTCTTATCATTCAACCTTACTACATACATTTTTATTCAGCTTAAGTTGACATTTTTTGTATCTTTTTGTGAAAAAGTTTGTCCTCTGCCTTGATCGTTAAAAAACTTTAAAAAACCTTCTTGAACCACCTTGCAAAGAATCCATGTTCTCTTCTCTCACAGGATATCGATGTGCAGATTCACAATATCAATGTAACAATGGAATATGTATTGACAAATATAAAAGATGTGATGGGGTCAAAGACGATTGTATCGATGGTTCAGATGAGGATCGCTGTCCTTGTCTAACTAATCAATTTACGTGCTTCGATGGATCGTGCGTGGACGTCTCTAAACTTTGCAATGCAAAATTAAACTGCGAAAGTGAAGATGAAATGCGGTGTGATGACGGTAATCCACTCTTGCTTATTTCAAACATCGCTTTATATCTAACCAGACCACTTGGTCGAGTTCAATACGTTTTAATAGTCCATGTTGTCATTATCACCTCGTAGTTCACGAGATCGAGTGGTCTAATTGCTTTAGTCTCCCCTAAACTATAAGGAAATTGACGAAAGGATCACAAAACAATTTTACTCGAGATTGTTTCGAATATTTTTTCCCTTAATTCGATAAAAAATTGGTTTGTCATGAATAGACCATATATAGTTCAGTAGGCAATCAGAAAGCCGCATGGGCTAGAATTCCTGTCATCGCGTATTGCGCGTGCGCCGATTTTTACAAAATCGATCTTAACAAAATGGCGGCTACATTTACAAGCAAATGCATTGACGACGATAAATATTTTGAAATAAAGTACATTTATTAAAGACATAATACAAGTATGTAGTCATTTGTAGTTTCTATCATGCATCTAGTTTCGTTTGAAGTTTAAATTTGGTACTCACGTTCATTTTCGATTGTTAAATAACGCCTCGATGCTCCTAATATTTTTTTGTAATTTGAGCGTGAAATTGCATAATTCGCCAAATTCTATACTTGCTGGAGCAGCTCTGCCAACTTGAAGAAGATTTGCGTAGTCGATTCCTATAAGTTCCATATGTTTACTGGCATGTTATCATGTTTTCAGTTGTATTTAGACCAGAAAACAGCGTCCAATTTAGACCAAACCGTAACAAGGTTTTACGAGTACCACTCGTCGCCATTATATGACATTCGTTTCCGCGTGGCGTTCGAATCTTTGTAAGAAAACGAGCAATAAACCACTTCTTCTTGAATGATTTTGTTCGTGTGTTTGTAAGCCCACRAAGGATGCTGGGACTGCTGTTAAGCAGACAAAAAGGTCAGCAGTTTGCCGTGAATTTGGTGGCCAATTTCGAAATAAAAAGCCATTCGATTTTCTAAATACTTTGGCGAAAATCCTTTAAATTTTGAGCTATAATGAAAAATCACAAACCACTACTTGAATTATAAAGATAAAATCGTAGCATTTACAGTATAAATTCCTTAAACAGTACTGAGGAAGTGGCATGTTTACAACGGAGGCCGCTGAGGTTGCGCCCGCGATGATGACCGCAATTCTTGGCCATGGGATATTTGATAGCCCATGGTATGGTGGATACTTAATATACATATTAAATCATTTTAAAGTACGATAGACTCAAAATGTAAATAAGTTATATTGACATACATTTCTCACTATTTCTCAAGAGCATGCGGACTGCCCTGTGCACCAATGCATCGATGGAAGCTGTCCATCGCCTTTATTACCATGTGAAGATATGGAGTTTAACATTTCGGAATGCTGTATGTTTAATATAGGATACACTTATTTAAAACAATTAATTATAGAACGTAAAAGCAAATATATGCAGGGCAAAAATAAATTCAAAGCTTTTAATAAATATATAACAACTGCCTAGCGACTGTGCAATAGTTCTCTCGTTGGGAGCGAGTGATTCTTAAAATTCTTTGGGAACCAAAAATGCAGTTTATTTAAATGCATTTTAACTTAGAATTAGTACGGGGATAAGGAAAAGGGAGGAAGGTACAAGTTATTGTTTTTACGAGCGATTTTTCCAAATATCTAAATCCATGATGTCTAGATAAAGTGTAAGATACCTTTTAAAAATGGAAAAGAATATTTCCTTTTATGAGATTAATTTAACGAAATGTCAAGGGATTAATGCATGAATTTGTTAATGWGTTATGTAGGGAACTCCAATAAATACCACACAAATATTTGCAGGGAACAGAATGATCATTGTAAGACAACAAAAGGTATCTCACTCACATAACTTTGCTGTGTATTAATGTTTAAAAATAGATTTACTAGTAATGAAATTTAATTATATATTTTAAAGAAATTTATACTTATAGAGATACATTATTCTAAAGGTATCTGCGGGTTCGATGCTGGACCTTGCGGAATGGAAAACGATGGATGGAGGTACAACTTACCGACTAACAAAAACTACAAAAGCTTTGATCATTCTTTTTTAAATGGAGGTATGTTATATATATATATGATTTATTCCTACAGCATATATCGCGTTACTTTTCCGAGGATTTGATAAGACGTTGATCATCGTTAATAAAGACAAAAAATCGTGGTCTTCGGGATAATTTTCGATTTTCTTTTACAAAGGCAGCTACTACATTGCACGTCCAAAAAACAACCAATCTACAGTTAGCACATTATCTATACAATGGACACAAACGCAGCCTTATTGTATGCAGTTTTGGTATATGGCCGATGCCAGATCGTCAATAAAAGTTTGCCGTACAAATAAAAGCAATTCAACGATCTGTCTTTGGAGCTCACCCAATACAACCAATAAGGAATGGACTTTTGGACAAGTCGAGATATCTGGGTATGAGGGCGGAAACGTAAGTGGCAATGTTACTCTTTATCTAATGTCTTATTTGGCATTTTATTACAAGTGCATTTTATTAATATCATTCTTGTTACACGTGATTTCCATCTATTTCTATTTCCATCTATTTCTATTTCTATTTCCATCTATTTCTATTTCTATTTCCATCTATTTCTTTGATCACAGTTGTGACTAGAATAGATCTTATTTGTAGTGAATTATATTTATATGTATTTTAATGAATTTTTTCAAAGATTACTCTATTATCTTTCTGAAAGCAAATATGTTCTTATATTATTATGTGGTGAAGTGAGCACTTTTTGGGGCATTTGCTACTCCCACTTGACGGCTAGTTAAATCAATTAGGTGTTTTATTTCAATCTCATCGATAAGGTTCAGTGTATATACAAAGTTACGGTGTTCATATTAGTTTAGCGTTTATTACTTTTATTTGTTGCCATGTTGGTTAATGTTGAGTATCAGTTCAACGGTTATCATTTATTTCACAAAATTCTTTTCGGTTCGGGTCATGTCGGGTTGGTTCTTTCACTAATTGTACAATATTCTACTACTCAATCTACAGCTCATAGTGTTTACTCAGAGTGATGCAATCGGTTGCATTACTCACCGTCGCACGCTTATGTTAAAATTATTTATCTCTTTTACTCCGACGAAGGATAAACGTTCGAAACGTCAGTAAGTTACTTCTCCTACTTTTTTGTGGTGTCTAATTTATCTTTTTACACAAAATTATTTAATCAGTAACGATTTTCAATATGGGATCAAACAGTCAAGTACAATCCCATTTTCGACAGTAAAAAATTTACAAAATGTGCACTTAATTAAAATATTTTTATAAAAAAAAAATAACGAAAACAGGTTATAAATGTGTCAACTGAGAGACGGACTAGCAAACTTTCATTTTCCTCATTTTAATTAGCCGTTAACCATCTTGAGTCATCCCTCTTGTAACAGTAAAGGCACCAAGTGAAATTTTTTTTTTATTGTAGTCGACCATCCATCGATACAGTATGTCGCGCTTCTCATATTTATAAACGTTTCGTTACAATTTTTTTGGCGCATGAATGTTTCATAATTCTCACAATATTGGCCTTTGGCAATTTTATTAGAAAACTATGGCTTAATTTTGAACAGATAACTCTCTGTCTGGATTAAAAATTACTGAGTTGATACGGTATTTTGGAACGCAAGTTTCTCTAAATTGTTAGTAAAATGTAGCGGTCTAGCCAGGCTACCCGGATGAATGAGTTTAAGAGTTTTCCTGGGTATGAGGATAATTTGTTGATTTTTATAGGTAATAATTGTTGGCAATGCCGTTGGAGATTCCCCAGGATTGGATGATCTTACTTTTATTGAAACTCCATGTTCTCAAGTTATTTCACAAAGTAAGTAAATCACGATCGCTGCGTGGCTGGTCAACAATTTGTAGTTCGAGTTTGGTTCAGCTTTGCAATCGGATCTGTTAGCCTGAAATGCCGTGTACATTTGAGTAAACCATTAGTTCCTTTGGTACAGATATCTAACTGATTCCTTGAAAAGGAAACAGCGCCAGTCAATAGCACGCAAACATGCTTAACTGAACTGATTTTACCATTACCCTGAGCGGAAGAAATTGTGTACTGTAAAAGCCGTCTTATCGATCATCCACCAATGAAATTGGAGTAATTGCAGTGAAATATTGAATTGCAGTGAATATTAGTCCTTTCGAAAATCTAATATAAATTTTGTAAGGTTTCAGTACTCGTAAGCTTCCACGCTTTCTGAAGTTATAATCTTGTATATAAAAAAGCGGCTTTCTTTTAAAAAAAGCTTCGAGTGTCAAAAAAAACCAACAAAACAAAACAAAAAACAAACAAACAAACAAACAAAACAAAAAAACAGCAACAACAGCAACAACAACAAAACGGCGGTCAGCGCACTAACTAGGTCCTGTAATATTTCTAATTGTAGTTGTCACATTAAATGGGCTGTCATTATTGTTATGCCCAAGAAAATCTGTGCAAATTTTGCTGTTTTTACGTAAAAATTTACGATTATTGCAGACTTGGCTACCGATGAACGCACTGCCATAAGATTGTTGTTTTTATAGGTAATCCATCGTGTTATTTTGATGTTCTTCAACCCTGTCCCATGAACATAGACAAGTCATGGTTGCTAACGACGTATAAGGACCAACAAGGTATCGAACAGAAATCTGACTTAAAATATATTTAAACCAGACGATCTAAGAGCGTGAAGTCGGGCTAGCTGTTTTTGAAAATTATTGAAAAAGATAGGATATTACATGGGTGCGTGTGTATCGCACATTTATAATGTATAACGACATTTTTTGTGCTGCATTCTTTTGTTTTCTTTTGTTAAATACAACCAGGTTATTTTGTCAGTGACAAGAACAAGTTAGGAGCTGTTCATGAATAAAATTTTAGACTTTTTACCGCGGTGATTTCATTGATTAACATTACGCGGACTGTTTAATTTTAACCAACACAATAGCCATGTATCTTTATAACTTGGTTGAGTTTTGGATAACTTGCCATTATTAATGCATGGATGGACACAGATGAGAACAACTACTATTAAAAAGCCGTTTTTGTGCAGCCACTTTTTTTCGAAGACAATCTTACGCTTAATTCAACGATATTCATTTTATTTTATCATAGGTGCGAACAGCTTCTATTTAAACTTAGACTTTCCAAGCAATTCGTCTAACAAGATATCAAGCCAAGCTTTCAGCACGCTATCACATGGATGGAAATGTTTACGCTTTTGGATGAGCAGCCCAAGCAAATATAGTTCAAAGAAACTGGATGTTATTTATAAAAGCGAAAATAATACGATATCTGGTATTAGCTTTACATCAGTTACACCAGGGTGGGTTTACCTTCAGTCACCAATACCAAGAGAGGAAAACAATTTAAAGGTAAATAAAGCTTAACCCTTTAACGTCCGCTTTAGACATTATCGGTTTTTAGGAACGATGTTTCTAAAAATTACAAGTTTCTGAGATCGCAAAAGAAGCCAAATGTACTCCATGACAACAGCTAGTAATATAACTCTATCTACAGTTAAAACGACTTCACATCAAGCGCGATATCAGGGCAAAATTGACCCCTGAAAAATAGGAATGCCTAAATTTCGACTTTTGGTGCACCAATAAGGCTGGGAATCACGTCTCTTCGTCTCCAGTTTTAGAGTCGAAATTGAAATTCTACGTTTTTTGAAATTGGCCATTCCAGGTCTTTAGTATTTTTGCATTTTTGTTTTGTAGAGGTCTCTGCAGATCTAGCCACAGCCCCCTTTTCGACACCAAGCACAGCAAACCCACATTTCTCAATTGCGCGGTCGATGCGGGAGTCTGGTTCAAACTCGACAGGGAGCAATCAACGTTCCTGTTTTCATATTTTATTTAAAGTGCCAAGCCATTCGCACCTACAGGCAAAATATTGCACCGATTGCATTCTTTGGATGTTMAAACTTGCCAATTTTACCTTGGTAGGTTCTGAAATCTGCCACAGAACGACTAGGGAGGCGACCTTTCTCTAACGTCGGCAATTCAAAGCTAACTTCATATTGGCGACATTGTCTTCGAAAAAGCGCTCCCCGCCTCTGATTTCTTCCAGAAGAGTGTCTCTGCCGCCTAGTCGAGCTTTATAATGCAGTCCTAGGGGCTTCTGTGGTAGCAAATGACTCGAAAAATCACTTAAAAACGGTTTTTGGGCGAATTTGAGAGCGAGTGCTGGCTAATTTAGCGAGCCGTCTCAAATTCACCGGGCGTCGCTGATGTAAACAAACTCAGAGCAATGTGAATCTACAATAGTTTGACTGACAACTCCTTATATGGGGTACATTTAATTTTTTGAGATATCAGTCTCCAAAACCGAACCTAAAATCCAAAATAAATCGCGGACGTTAAAGGGTTAAATTATCTTTTCCAGAACTCATAAAGGGCATGAAAACGAATGTAAAAATTAGTCAACTATAGCAACACAAACCTCTTTCATTAAAAAAACTACATAGACCAATGACTTTAAATAGAAGTAAATTTTGCTAAATACTTAAAGAAGCAAAAAAAAAAAAAAAAAAAAAAAAAAAAAGGATAATGATTATCAATTTAGAGATGCAAAACTTGAAAGAGTGCTCAACTGAAATAAATTGAGTTCTCGATAACAAGTAAAATAAGAGTTGAAATTTACAAACACATTGTTCTCCATGTGGCCATTCTCCTATTTCTACCAAACTCACCCTAAATGAGGTTGAAATATCAATATAAACCGAGGTAGAAAAATATTTCTGGGTTTTTASACTKGTAGTGCGATAGSAGCGATCAAATATCACGATTTTTTGATTTGCAATATGCAAATTAGCAGTTTGTTTACATTTACTCATTCGAATGAAATTTTTTCTCAAACATCAAAACCAACCAAATATATCATCTGATCGAATTAAATGAAGTAATTAGACACTTTCAAACAATAAAAGCGATTGTATCTTGACCTTTAGCCCCATATTTCCTTCTGACGGTTTCTGTGACGGTCATTCCAATAGTTGGCCACTCAAAATTTCCTTTTTTAATTGTTTGTCGAGGTTTACTACACAAAGACTAGCAATAAAAAGTTGTAATGTAATTTCATTACTGACAGTGTTGTTAATATTTTGAACAAGGAATTTCTGCACGGCAAACACCTTTTGTAAATTTACCGAAACAATAAGAAGCGCGTGCCTGAAGTCCCCCCAAAATATTATTCCTTAGGGACAAAACCTTCCAATCTTCTCAAAATTCTAATGAAACACCCCTAAAAACAAAGGTATAGCAGGTTATGTTTTAGTTTAGAATTTTCATAACTCGCATCAACATCACTCATGGAGTCGTGCTATTTCCAAAGCTCTTGTGGGTGGTCATTGCGGTTTCGATCCCAAATACGGATTTCAATGCTTGACCAGTGTTCTACTGAAAGCGTAATATCATTTAATATTGCTGAGTATAAGCGGTACTTTAGTTTTGCTGGAATACAAAGTGCTCTAAGGGACCAGTAATATATTAGAAGGGAGGGATGGGAATGGGATTTTGACAAAAAAATAGATTGGAAAATGGGATCAGACAGCCCTCCCCTCTACTGAGGGGCTTCACAAAATTATGTAAAGATTTTTAAGGGTTCCTTTTTTTAGTTCATCCCATTCATCCCGTTCAGGTTTTTCTAGTGTT